GCCCCAGCCAACCGCCCGAAATTAGAACACCGGCCCACGCAGCTCTCGCGTTTGATGACGAGGACGGTGATATTGCGCTGCCGGACTGTCGTGTAAAAGGACAGTAATGGTTCCTTGCTGCAAGGACGTCGAGGAGTAGTACGCAATTCATGCTGCTGGCATTTGTGGCTTTTTCCAAACACCCTGTGGAGATTGGTACATTTTCATTAATACTTCCGTGTGGGCCAATTATAGTCTTTGAGTCTTTATCAGTACGGTAGTTGTATCTATAATAGATGAACATGGGCGTGGGAAGATGTGTGATGCCCAGGCGTGATTGACACCGATGTGGCGAATCTGTGAGAGACGTGCCGAATGACTGATGATGATGACCTGCCACTTGTTAATATGTGCCGTGGCCTTGAAGATGACTAGATGATGGACAATAGCCTTGAAGACGACCGGACGATGTACCATGACCCTGACGTTGCGCCATGAGGATTGTTCCCAACGATGAAGTAAGATGAACGGCCGTACCCCTTTTGGATGACCAGTTGTGCCCTTTTCTAGTGGTCTACATGAGGAGAGAAATGCCATGACGCCTGAAACCTGGCCGTTGCCATGACGACCTGACGATTACCCCCAGTGGCGGCGGCGGTCACAATGGCAACCCCCACGGTTACCATTGTGGGGACAGCCGTTACCATGGGGCAGCCACGATTACCCAGGGCGGCGCCGGCAGTGACCCTGACGTGGCATGGTGGCGCAGGACTGAGCATGGTAGGATGACGGGTTCGGAGACAAAGGGTAATGATGTGCGAAACCGCTGGGAACTGTGTTGGAGGGGCCGAACGGCTTAAGTATTGGAGTACTGGAACCCGAGTGGCGTGGGAAATCGTTTCGGTACGTGGGCATACGTGTTTGGTACTGTGCTTTGCGGGTAACGGTGCTAGGGTAACGGATTACGGTGTGTTTAGACCTGCCAAGTACGGGACACGGTTACCCGGGCATATAGTACTAAGGGAAACGGTGGTAGTCGAGGGAACCGAACGGAGTGTGTACTTTGGCGCGTGGAAACGTTACCATAGGGGCTGCGGTACCGCGACGCTCGACGGGAACGTGTGTGTGCGATGTACAAGGTACCGCCCATTGTAGGTTTCTTGGTAACGGTATCCTGTTGGGAAACGGAACCCGCGCTTGGACTATATGTGGACGCGCGGCTTTACTTGGAAAAGACGCTGGTTTGGGACCCCACATTTGCCTTTCTCTGTACACACGCGGGGATTGTGCCCCGTTCCCTGGTTACGTGCCGCACTGGCAGTCGCCCATTTTGGGCGCATCTTCGCCGTCGAGTTCAGCTCGTTCAGGCGGGTGTCCATTTTCATGCGTGACCAGCTCATTGCCGTAAGATTCGTCACTTGGACGCCAATCCTGCGGCGGTACGAGGCTCGACGCCACACATTGTGGTCAGGCGCGTGGAGCACCGTAGGCTTTCAAACCCTTCCGTATAGTAACGTAGCGGATGGCTCTTTTTTGCGCACAAAACAATAAGATAGACAACCCTCATTCAAGAAAACTTTGAGGAGCAACATGAAAAATAAGTCTAATGCTCTGAAAAACAAAATGCAGAGGAAAAAACGTGACGGTAAAATTTTCCGATGCGGAAGGGCTTCAAAACCCACGGTACTGCATGAACACAAAACTGAAGTGGGTCTCATCGTGCCACTAGCCGCTTTGACAGTAGTGGTTATCTCAGATCGTCTGTTCCCCATCTCCGCCGACTCTGAGCTCAGTTTTCTTTTTTTCTCATTTTAGGGTGCGACAGCCCCTTGAGAGCCTCTATTCGCACAGATCTTGCCACAAACCAGTCCTTTTTCGTGCTTGCAATATTCTTTTCAACAGACCGCTGCTCACTGAAACAGGCGGCGACCAGGTATCGCGCCGGCCAGGCGCGCCCTGCAGAGGGCCAGGTGGCAGGCGGCAGCTCGCACACGGCCGCCACACTCTGCGCTGCGGGGGGTCACATTCCATTGCGTGCCGCGCCGCGGGCGAGCGCGAGGGGGCACGAACCGTGCCTTGAGGTCAGTCACGCGGGCTCCAGTCAGCACCCCCCTTACAAGCGCCTTCCCCTCACCGGCCGCTCCGCGCCCTTCACGTATCCTACCCCCATGATGTTTGCCGGGCGCCGGCGCGATCATCAGTCATGACGGGCTGGGGGCGTGCCACACCGTCCGCGCGACAGACTGGCCGCGACTGGAGGCCCCGGCTTGACGTTGCGGATCCGTAACAGCACCCGCGCTAGCGCCTCGAATCAAGCGGATTGGTCTGCGGGGCGGCGTATCACCAGAGGCACGCAGGCACCGGCCGGCATGGGCGCCCAGAGCCCACGCCCTGAGCCCCGCTCGGCAGCCGCGCACCCGCCGAACGCTGCCACTCCCTGAGCCGGGGCTGCCTGGTGAAGGGAGGCGCGGCAGAATCTTGGACAAGCACGCGGCCTGTCGGTGTGTGCGCGACTGTTGCCCAGTGAGGCTGCCGGAGGGCGCTCAGGGCGGTTTGGGCCGCTCGGGCGCCTGCCGAGGTGGAGGCTTGGCCGGCGTCGGGGAAGCGAGGGGCTGGGAGCGTGGGGCGGCGCCCCATGGGAGGGCGGGGGCGGGGCGGGGGGTCGGGGGGCCTGGCGCTGGCGTGCCTGGCGCTGTGGGCCATGGCGGGGTCGGCGCAGGACCTTGCAGCGCTGGGGCAGGGCAGCCTGGACGTGGGCAACTGCAGGGCGTTCCGGTCGGCGCTGAACAGCACGGAGTCGCCGCTGGTGTCGACGATCCGCGTCTGGCGATCGTTCAGGTGCGACGACGAGAGCTGGGGCGTGGAGGAGCTGGTGGTGCGCAAGTCGGTGCTGATCACGGGCGCCCAGGCGGTGGACGGCGGGCCGTCGCCCGTCATCCAGTGGACGGCGGCGCCCAAGCTGTTCGTGGTGGCGCCCCCCGCCCAGGTGACTTTCCAGAACCTGATATTCGTGCAGCCGGCGGTGCCGGCGGACAAGTTCGACATCGCCTTCCTCAAGACCCTGACGCTGGGCGAGACGAGCTTCCTGGGCGTGGTCCTTGGCGTCAAGGACTGCCCCGGGCCGATCTCCACCTACGTTAGCTACCTGTCCAGGCAGCCGCGCCCGCCATCCATGCCCGGCACGCAGACATTCTCGGAGCAGGGCCGCAACTCCCTGCTGCTGGAGGACGTGGCGATCGACTTCGAGTCTGGTGGCAACTGCCGGCTGTGCTTCTCGGCGCTGCAGTGCGACGTGGGCGCGGAGGACGCCCTGCTGCAGGACCTGCTGGCCGACCAGAACACCAAGAGCGTGTGCGTGGAGCCGGGCACTCCAGTGGCGCGGAGCCAGTCGCCGGTGCCCGCTGAGGGCTCCGGGGGCACCAACGTGCTGGTGATCATCAGCGTGTCCGTGTTCGGGGCGATGCTCGCGCTGTGCGTCATCACGACCATCGTGATCGTGTGGTTCAGGCGGCAGATGGCGCCGCCCGCGTACGTCGGCGAGGTCGCCGGCAAGGGGGCGGTGACCCGGGGGGTGAGCGTGGAGGGGGCAATGTACACGGGCGGATCCGGCAAGGGGATGATCGGGGCGGACGCGCAGTTCGGGAGCAACCACTGGAACCTGCAGCTGTCGGATGTGCAGTTGGGCGCGCCGCTGGGCAAGGGCGGCTTCGGGCGCGTGTACAAGGGCTCCTGGCAGGGCACCACGGTGGCGGTGAAGATAATCTGCCACAACGACAAGACACTGCAGACCAACGTGGGGGAGCCCTTCGAGGCCTTCCTGTCCAAGCACATCTCCCACCCTAACGTGGTGCAGACGTTCCACATCAGCACGCGGGAGATGTCCAGCGTGCAGCAGCAGGGGGACCAGGACGTCTTCTTCGACACGAACGGCCACGCCGTGGAGGAGGGCCTGGGCAGCCACCGTGGCCATGCACAGAACCCTTCTGAGGAGCTGTTCGGGTCCTTCAATGCATCGCAGTCTTTGGACGTCACGACTGGATCCAGGTTTGAGACATGGATCGTGCTTGAGTACTGCGACCGCGGGTCGCTGGAGAAGGCCATCAGCGATGGCTCTTTCCTGCTTCGCGGCCCAGCCAGGGCGTACCGCATAGGCCACGTGCTGAAGACTGGCCTGGAGATAGCCCATGCCATGCATTACCTACACTCGGTGCGAATCATACATGGCGACCTCAAGCCGGGGAACATCCTCCTCAAGGGGGACAACTCGGATTCGCGCGGCTTTACGTGCAAGGTCGGGGACTTTGGGCTGAGCCGTTTCATGGCAGAAGAGACCCACATACAGACCTTCACATGTGGCACAGTGACCCACATGCCCCCCGAGCTGCTGAAGGGTGGCATGCTGACTCCGGCTGTGGACGTGTATTCGTTTGGCATCCTGATGTGGGAGCTGATGTCCGGCCACCGTCCCTATCCTGGCAAGAGCCAGCGTGAGATCATGCTGGCAGTGATCGATGGCTGCAGGCCGGCCATCACCGAGGATTTCTTTCCAGAGTATGTGGACATGCTGAACATGTGCTGGGACCAGGATTACAGCAAGAGGCCTTCCTTTCCCATGCTGATCGACACGCTCATGAAGATGCTCGACAAGCACGGGCGCCGGAGGGCGCCCTCCAACCTGGTTGGGGAGGACGACGGGCCTCCACCCTTGCCTTCGCCCATCCCCATAGACGTGGCAAGCGGTGCGGCAAGCAGGGAGGACGCGATGTCGGCATTCAAAGGGGACCACACACCGCTGGCCCATGGCATCAAGAGGCAGCTGACGCCATCGAGGCTGAGGGCGAGGGCTGCTGAGGCGGCTGCAGAACGGGAGGATTTCGTACCCAACGGGCTGCTGGACAGCTTTGGCAGTGACGTGGGGAACAGGCGGCTGTACAGTAGCGTGGGTGTTGGGGGCCAGTTTGTGGCTGAGGGCACGCCCCGCCAGTCAGGGGGTTCTATCAGGGGGCACGCCCCGCGAACTCGGCTGTCAGTAGGTCAGGAGGATGCGCAGGCGCAGTCAAGCAGGAAGGGAAGCTCAAGGGGAAGTGTGCAGGGCAGCACTTGAGAGGACTCTGTGAATTGTGCAATTTATTCTTTGTGGAGTGTTGGCTGCGCCGGGGCTATGGGTGGTGGGGTGCAGAGGTGGGGAAGGTGGGAGCAAAGTGGCCGAAGAGCACTGGACGCTCCGTGGCTCGACTCGCAGAATTCATGTCCAGGCCCTCTCGACCTCATCCTGGTGCAGCCCTGCTGCAGGTGGTTTTGCTCTGGGGTCACACGTTGCGGCCTCTGTGGGGTTGTCAGGCGTGATCCGGCAGACAACTTGTGGTGTGGGCGATTATGTGCTCCAATCCCGTTCTCAAGGTCCATGGGATTTATAGAAGCATGAGTAGGGGGTTGCCTTCGGAAATAGACTGGCATTCTTTGACGGGTGCAACGCCGGTTCTTCTTTTGGCCCAGCGGCCAGCCCCTGGGGCGCTGTATTCTATTTTTCGCCGACTGGTGGTGGAGAAACCTGGGGGTGGGGCCGCAAACGGGGCTGCGAAAATCTTTGATGCATAAAGGGAAACGAACTTTGCCTGCGGGTGATGGCTGAACTGTTGTGTTTAAATCTTATTCGAGTCACGTCTTGGCTGCGTTCCTAACGCGTCGAAGGACTGAAGGCCGCGGGCTGCTTTCACGATTTCCTCCCACCTGCCAGAATCCCTGAATGCTGTTCTTCGGATTGGTCGCCATGTTTCTACACCGTGGACGCTGAGCCGACTTCCTCTGCCCTGTTCCCGCGCGCGAGGGCAACTATGGAATGACAGCATTTCCATTTTCGTCCACCTATGATTTTTGCTCTCTGCGGACTCAAGGCTTAGCCCCTCTGTTGCCCATCCTGTTTTTGATTGCTGGCAGTGCCTAAGGACAGTACACAGTACTGAACGACTGCACAGGGAAAGCGACGGTGCGAGTCCTACATTCCGGGGGGAGTCCGATTCCGCCCGGCAAAATTCAACCGGCCCCGGCCGCCCCAGCAGCGCGGCGCCACGAGCGCCCTCCATGCCCACCTCCCAGGCGGCCCCCACGGGCTTCTGGAACTTGCGCATTCTCACGAGAATGTCAGGGCCGTCCATCGCGGTGACCACCGGCGATGGACAGCCCTAAATCATCGAAGCAGTCTCCCGCGTCACCGTATCCGCCAAGCACGAGCCCGAGTCCTAACCACCGCCGCATTGCGACCCTTAAACAGCTTCACGGGTTTTCGCAACGAGTCGCGCACTTCCGGTTCCTCTGTGCGCTCTTGCGTCAGCGCAGAGGGCGGCACGTCACGTTTGCGGCGCAACAGTGCGTGATGGCGCCCTCTCACGATGAGAGCGCCGTCGTGCAATCCTTGCCCACACGCCACATTTTGCTGACGCCCCACCCAACCACGATCACTTCACGGCCGTGCGAGCTTGATGGGCAGTGAGCTCGCAACCCGCCCAAGGGCGCAGCTGTCTGTCCATGGCGCCACGGATGATGCCCAAGGGGACCGTGGCAATGCATTACCTCGGTGCGCGCCAGGACTCGCTTCTAAGCCGAGCGCGAGGGTCCACACCACGTGGGGTGCGAGAGGACGCCACCAAGTTGATGTCCTACCTTCCGACACCTCACGGTCTGTTCAGCAAACCAGTCCAGGACATCACTCCTGTTGACCTGTTTGCAACTTTAATAGAGGTCAATCCCGCCGCGACGCCTTTCCCCGACTGGTGTACCCAATTCAGGGCCTCCGGTTGGGGACAACCCTTGCAGCGTGCAGACTGCAGGCACAGCTATCACATTGCACAGGTGGGGTAGGGTCTACTCCTGCACCGATTCGGAAGATGCGTGCGCCTGCACCTCGCCGCGCACCATGGCCACACACCCCACGTCCGTGTGCGCAAATCAGCAGGCAACAAGTGCACTGGGCAGGGAGCCGCAGACCGTCGTGTGGCGTCGGGCACAGAACATTGTTTGGCAGTAGTGCTGCTGCGATGATCCAAGCCAAGGGCCGCCGTGCACAGAAGGAATGTCGACGGTCTGCGTGAAGGATTCCCCGTCTGCGTTGTGGGGGACACCTTGCACTCCCGCCGCAATGACGAAGGTGGCTGCACGGCTGGGAGGACAGGTGAAAGCGCAGCTGCCAGTTCATGCGCACCTATCTTGCTTTGCAGGCCATCCATGCGGAGCTGCATTGATTTGGGGAGCAACAAGCTGCCAAAATGGGATACTCTTCCACTGCTCCACTGATTGACGCCCAAACACCAGTCGAGCGCAGCGAAGCACAGCAAGAAGAGCACTGGGCATTCTTTGCACGTCACGCGTTCGCAACCAGGCCCGTTCTTTCAACAGTGGGCGGCACTCGGCCGACGTGAGGCGCATTCTGGCACACCGCAACGAATCCATGCCCCTTGCAGCTACACAGACTGAACGCAAATAAATTGAACTGTACAAGTCCCCATACATCCCCCGTCCACCCGTCGACACATCAGCCACATGCCCAGCCAAGAGCCCACCCTTTGCACGACACCTGCGGCGCTAGCTGCATGGGGCCCCGCCAGCCAGCATCTGCATCAGACCGCCAAGCATGCCGCCGAAGCCGTTGGTCTGCTGCGCACCGAAGAACACCTGCTCGACTTTCTGTAGCAAATGACTCAGGGAAGGGTCGCGAGAAAGGCTGGCATCGTATTTGTTCAGAAGCATCTGAAACAGCGTGGCGGAGTTCTTGTTCAGTGCCTGCGACCAGCGCCAATAAACCCATGATTAGTTTGACGTTGTTGTCAGCCAACAATTTCTCCCGCACAATCTCCCTCAGGCACAGGGTGCAAGGCCATCAAGGATTAGTACTCAATTCACCGTTTTGCTAAAACACCTACCGCCGCATTGAGCACTGGATCATTGCCACACGTTCCCCGCCATCCATTGTCGCCATATTCACCTTTGATGCGCCACAACTTTCATTATCTTCATGAAAGAGTTGGCAAAGCTAAGCTCTTGATGTGTAGCAGGCACCAACGACATATTCTCTGTGAGGTACACCTTGACAGACGCATCGTTCCGGCAACGGGCAACACAACAGGCGGATACTGCCATCACGCACCAGACACCAGCATGGTACCTGGATCATCAGCTGCATGCAGTGCATGAGTGGCGTCTCTGGCAACAGCCTGTCCTCTTGGTACTCTGTCAGCAGGCTCTGTGCGCTGCTCACCCTGTCAGCCAACTGGTCCACACGGGCCCAGGCCAATACCTGGAGCACCGCCCGGGCCACAAACAAGTCCTCCTCGCAGGGTTCTCCCATTCGGGCGCAGGTGGCCAAAGCTGCAGCACGTTATTCACAACAGCTTCAAGAAAGCCCCCACAACAGGAGTGCATCTGGGATGCGCGGTAGGGTGGCAATCATTTCGAATGCTTTTAAAGGCGCAACTAGCACCTGTGGCAATGCACATACTTCTAGGAAGACAGCTGTTCAGCCAAGAATGATTGTTCATGTCTCCTGTACAGTAGCAGGGTGAGGCAGGATGTACGGCACTGCTGGCTCTTGCGGGATGTTGTGCCAATGTTCTCCAAGCAGGATTACTGTGCTGAGCGCATTCTCACATGGATGAACTCAAGCAGGCTATTCCTGCCACATTTTATGACCTGCAAGAGGTTGACAAAATATTGTGAGGCACTGTGTACATTGCCTTGGAAGCACAGGCACAAAGACATGGGGCTACCAATGGCCCAAGGGTCTTCCTTCTGGGGCAAGCTTCCATGACCCAACTCACCGCTTGCAAATCCCTGCCAATCGCTGCCCTGGGCATAATGGGCAGAGACGAGTGCCAATCTGCTCCATCCCTGCCATCCCCAGACGAAGCGTGCTGCACGGTCGTGCAGCCGCCGTTCCCACGCCCCTGCGCCTTGCCTACGCATCATGAAGGCTTGCTGCCATCAGCAAAGAGAAAGATAGTAGGTTTCATAGTAGATTACTGCTTTTGCAGTTCGGGACGGCGTTCATGTGAAGGGGTTCTCTCATCCATTACTTGTCAACAAGCTTGCCAAATTGTGGTTTAACTTGATGGCCTCACACCCTGACTTTGGCAAGCCCACCACAACTTGGCGTCCAATCAACTCTTGAGCTCTGGAGCCCAACGAGCCATAACTGCAGTCTGTGCCAACAAACTGCCTGCCAACAACCAACAGATCACTCCCCCGACCTGCGCCGTGACCAGCCACACATTTTGCATGCCCTCTGCCAGCCTCACTTGTGTCCCCATTTGATGGCTGCCGTCAACAGCCTGAGAGCCTCATCCACCTTTGAGCCCTCAGTCCCCTTGCAGTTGCCATCGATGCTTCCTTCACTGCTGCAGGTAGGAGGTTCTGGTAGGCCATCCAGCATGTGGTCCACTCTCCTGCATGCCTCCTCTGTCAGCCCGACTTCATCTTTCTCATAGGCCTGGAAACACAAGCCCATTGATCAGTTCAGTCAATCTACAACTTATTCAGATGACGCAGCATAGAACACCATAGCTCCTGCAGCACTGCGATAAACTGCAAACCTTCTGCACACAGTGCAGCAGTGTTCCATGTTGGCATACCCATGGAAAAGTTGGCCTGTTACTCAGCTGATGTCATTCTGTCGTTGCTGCTGGCACTAGCAACACAATTACCAGTGCAGACATGAGTTACGCACAAGCAATTCAGAATGGGTTGCTCTGTGTGTGACTAAATTCACACAACATCAACACACTTCCCTGTTGTGTTTTCGTCTCTTGATTTTGCAGACTCCAAATAGCCCTATGCGGTGGAGTGCCTGGCAACTTTGTGGCAAAAATTTTCATAGTACATTTTCGCTCAAGCAGTGGAATGGCTCACATAGCTTGTTCCTAACTCCCAAGAACTAGTGGCCTCTGCACAACAGCACCATTAACTGTCCCTACATTATGTCCAGGGCTATCCACGGCCACTGAAGGCATTCTAGCTGTGAGATTGAGCAAAGAAAAAGTAAGATACCTCGATCAGCATCAGGCCCAGCTCCACACCACATGTCAGATGGCCTGTGGCAAGCTGCAGGACAGCGCCCTCCTGAACAAGACAATCGCAATTCCTGTCAATGCCTTTATCATCTTGGATGTGCTAGCCTAGTGTCTTCTCAAGTTTGGAAAGGTGTCATCATTTCTGATGAGATCACTGATGCACAACACAGAACCTTGGGAACTGTTGGTGTACCACACGACATTAAACTTCTGCATTCCCCATAGGAATGGGGTGCTTTTGTGCAAAGCATTGTGACGGACTTGTAGATCGCTGAGACAAATGATGCTGTTTCATGATTTGACATCAGCAGAAAATTTGGCCCTGATCAGTGTGTCATTTATCACATTGCCTTAATAAATCTGTGCATGTGTTCCAATGAACTCCCTTGCAATTCTTTCACCCTGTTGCGCTAATCGGTGCTCATGCACCTTGACCATGATACCGATACATATAGATTCTGTTGATGCTTTGGAAAATCTGGGATCCAAACTAAGAATCCAGGTGCTCCCTCTGTCCTAACAGAGGCAGCCCTAATCTAGGGTGTGTACCACCCTCACAAGGGAGTCTGTTAGCTCCTTTGTGTTCACAATTCCTTATTCCGGCAGTTCACACCGCGCTCAAGGATCATGATGTCCTGGCATATGCAAGGGCTGCACTTTGTCACTATCAGGTTCCCAAGGCTTTGGTGGCACCCAATCCCAAGTCCCAAACGGAACCTCCCATTCTTGTAGATGCGTGCTGCGCATGCACTGCCCTTGCTGTCTCGAAAGTGACTGGGCGCAGGCATGACGCTTTCATGTTGTTGCGTACACTGTTTCGATGTTGTCTGCTGAGAGTTGCAATTTGATTCACAGCAACAAAATCAACACAGTGTATGGATGACAACATTCCATTATGAGACAAATACAATCCAGAACAGGCGTTCCGTTTCCGAAGAGAAAATCAGATAGTATTGTGGGGATCAGGATGTGGGGGGGCCAAGCCAGGCGTTGGAACGACTCTGGGGATGGGGGGAGCACCTCGAGTATCTTGTAGCTGTCCTCCAGCATCCCCTTCGTGTGGTACCTGTGGTGCACGGTCTTGTACATCTGCTGCGCCTCATAGTGTGCGCCCTCGTCCACCACCCTCTTTATCCCCTGCAGCGACTGTCGCCAAATCGGCACACCGAGCGGCTGGCCGTCAGCCGGAGACCGCAGACGGCGCAGGCCAAAATTCCCCGAGTCCAAACATCCGTCCGCACGGCAAGGGGGATCCCATACACAATCTATGGGCTGTGACGGGCACGTGTGAAAACCCAAACGTCTGTTTGCTGACGGCCCAGGGTGGGCGAGGGGTGAAAAACAAACCCCACCGTGGGCGGCAGCGCCACGGCGACTCCGTTGCGAAAAGCATCGACGCCCGAGCGGCATGGCGGCGCAATCCCCACCTGCTCCGCCATGCCGGTGGCGGCAGGGCCGCGACTTCAGCCTCCGCGACGCGGTCGAGCGCGGTGGGCGAAAGGTACGCTGCAACGCTGTGTCGGTCGCATTCGTTTTGTTGGGGCCCCGGGCTGGGCATTCCTTTCCTACGCGGCTCCGTAAAGGTACTAAATAGGGGTCTGGGGTGCCAGATTGCCGCTCCCGCCAGGACTGCGGAGAGACCAGAGGGGCCGCAGGGGCGACGGTTGGCGCGGAGGCCCAGGAGACGGCGGAACCGTCTTGCTGCAGCTAGCGAAGATTGCGCTGCCTGGCGGGAAGGAAGGCAAGTTTTTCGATCGGCCAACACACCCTCGCAGGACTTTGAGTGAGATCGTCTCCAGTGTTTAGATTGCAGCCGACGCAGAGCGCAACGCGGGGTGTGAATCCTTTCATCGCCATTGCTTTTGTCACAATTGAAAGCGGTGGAAAAGATTCCTTGCACCTGCGGATCAGTTTCGAAAGTGTGACTGGACGCAAATTGTCCGGAACGCGTTATGCTTGAGCGCCAGCGTCAAGCAATGGGGTGCGTGCGCCTGGTGTCCTGCAGGGAGGATCCCATTGGTTGCCGGCGGACGGGGGTAGAAGCGGGCAGGCGGGCTGGGCGGCGATCGCGTGGAGGGCCGCCCGCGATGCTGCTGTCGTGGTGTCTCCTCGTCGGATCGACGGCTGTCGTTCTGAAGGCCGTGGAGGCTGTGCTGGCCAACGTGTTGGCGTCGCGCAAAGGGACCCCGAAGCCACCGGAGGGGCCCGGTGAGATGCGGCCCATGGTGGACCCGTGGGACCCGTCACCTCGCGACGGGTGGGTGGCTGAGTACTGGGGACTGCAGTTGCCAGCACGAACGCATAACACGAATGTATGCATGTGGTATGTGTGTAATTCCTTGTTACAACCAACCGGGCAAGAAACGTGACATGAATACCCCCCCAATAAAATCAACACAAGACAATGTCAAAAGCCTATTCTGCCTTTTGGCAATGTAAAGGGGGGCCTGTGTTATGTGCGGATGTATGTGCGAAGTTCATGCATACATTTTAGATCATACTATGAAAGCATGTTAATCGCACAGCAGGCCCCGTTGGCCTCATAGGCGTTGGCGGCATATGGCGGCACATGCTGGGTAGAAGGGAAAATCGGCTGTTCATTGGAGCACAAGCACTGCTTCGGTCAAAGGGCCATCATCATGTTGCAGGTGCAGTGCGGAACTACTCCCACAGGACAAAATGTGAGCAAGAAGAGTTGAACAAGATTTACGTTGAATGGATGGAGAGTATCAGGAATTTGTATTCTAATTTGGCAGGTGAAATTTAGCAATTTGCTATTCGATCATGCAGTTTCATGTCAACGAAAAGATACCAAAGACTACATTCTCAAGTCTAACTTCTACATATACAAGCTACTGTTCAGCTGATTGGACAAATGAATCTTCATCGGGGTAGGTTACACTGGATTGCTATTCTCACAGATTGCAATGTGGCGAGCTGTGACCCATCAGACAGTTGGGATGTAATTGATGATGAATTGCAAGTGCCCCCAGCTTTGAGATCCACTCAGCGGCCTCCATTCCAGATCAAATCAGAGCACATCTTCAGAGCAGTCTCATTCTGTTGTTGGATTTTGTGCCCTCCAAATACCTGCTCATGCCTTCTATGCATGTGCCAAACCACACCTGCTGTGTGGCTGAAGCCATGGCCAATTGTTCTCAAAATGGCATTGTTTCTACTGCATTGGGGATCCACCTCTCAAACGAATGTTTCGGTACAAGTGAAGATACAGAAGTACCTAACCACTACAGAATTGCAGACATCAGTGCGCTGAGCAAAGAACAAGGAAACAAAGCATAGCTCTGGTATGTATGTGCACTGTTCACATTCACCAAAATTTCCAAAAACATTGCCATGATATCTATTGGGCGATTCAAGGATTTGCTGCCACAAAGTTCAATGGAGTGCTAGTCGTTGACAATTTTTGCCTCTGCAGCAATCAGTGTCAATGCAAATGAACATAGCGGGCACTGCAGCTCATGAATATTGGGCAATGGCTCTTTTCAGGTTTCTAACGTGGGATGACTACTTCATGGCTTTGGCATTTCTGAGCGCACAACGATCCAAGGATCCTAATAGGCAGGTGGGACAAAGGCTCCAATGAGAGTTGCCCTGTTGTCCGAAAAGTGCAGGGTACCTCTGCAGGGTGTGGGTTTCAAGTTGGGTGCCAACACAGTATTGATCTGTTTGTGTGAGATGGTGAGGCATGTTTTACTTGTAGGATAACTGATGTCGGACAGGCTGTCTTTGAAGCATTGGCATGCACCACAAAGGGTGGAAAGTGAGCAGAGAACCTGGGACTGTAATTGCTAGCATTAAACAAGGTGGTTTCGACACAAACACACCGATTTGCTAAGAGTGCACTTTGTTTCCAGAAGCTCACAGGACAGCTTGGCAGAAAATGATTATCTTTTCCGCGTGTTTCACAATATGCCATACTTCGAATCTCTGTGTTGCAGGTTGGAGCCTGCATTGTGAATCAAGAGAATGTCATTCTAGGCATCGGGTACAATGGCTTTCCGCGCGGCTGCTCCGATCATCAGCTTCCATGGGCCAAGAAATCCAGATGCGGCGACCCTCTTGGGACCAAGTATCCCTACGTTGTTCATGCGGAGGCCAATGCCATTCTGAACAAGAATGCGGCCTCGGTCTCTGGAGCGGTGTGTCAATTGAGTGCCGTGATCGCTGCTCTTGTTGCATGAATGAGTGGGATCTTGTGGAAGGATTCACAAGCAGCCATAGGTGTGGAGCTACGATTGGTGTACACCAATAACTGCACGAATGCTTGATGTGCACCAAACAGTGTTGCAAACTTGGTGCACAACAAATGTCCCCCATTAAATGAGGAATGCACGTTTCCTGTATGAAGATGGCACATATTGGCACCAAAGACCCATAATAAAACCATAATGGCTCAATGCCATTGGACCGGGGGCTTTGTGGCATCAGTGTTTTCACCATTTGCGCATGAATGCGCTTGCAACCAATCCGAAGTGCTAATCGTAGGTGTAATTCATGTGTTTCTGCAGAAAATATACGTCACACTTTTCCCTTGCAATGAGTGCGCAAAGCTCATCATCCAGGCAGGAATCAAGGAAGTCGTGTTTCATGAGGTATGACACAACATTGTGACTTTCATTGAGCTGCTAAGAGGCTGCACTTGGCACACACAATAGTCTGCCTTTGCCTTGGCAGTGCTGACCCCGACGTAATACGATGTATAGGAATTAATGTGAATGCGTAAATCAAGTGCCAATCAGGTACCAATAATGTGCCATGTCCTGAAATGGAAACAAGCTCCTGTAGATGTAGTTTGTATTTATTGTACAATACATGTACATATAACTCTTCACCTTTAGAACTTGTAATAACCTTTCTTGGACGTTGTTGATCTGTTGCTTCGCTTGCACCTCTAAGGTTGTGTGTTTATTGCACTGGCACACGATTTATGGGTACATTAAGCTAGGCGGGAGGTTGCATAGCACAAGAGGACGTTGCAATAGTTGTGGATTGGCATATACACCGAGGTACTTGGCCAGTTGACACTTTGAAGAAATTATTGCGGGATTGCATGCGAGGGCTGTACTCTCTCCAGCTTTTTTGCCTGTAGTTTTTAGCGTACAATAATCACTAGAGAGATAATGACCTTCAGCCAGAAAAGACCACTTCGCTGACTGGATGCCAGATGACCATGGTGCGATGTGACATGATGTCAGACAGTTGATTGCTCCAAGGCATTCATTGAAACTTCATCTCCAACCCATTTACTTATTCTTGTTGCGCCCAAGCTCTATGGCGTCGTCCTTACCTTCCCGCCTCCAGAGTGCAAAGAGAATGTGGTGTGCACTAGAGCGCCTTCAAGCATGCACTTTGTTGCCAGGCATCGCGATGTCCCTGTAGACTGTTGAAAACTGACATTTTCTTCTGATAAGACATCTCTAGAGATATCTGCAATGGCCAGTGTGTCGGTTCCACGTTGCATGTACTGGAGTGTACAACAGATGCAGCTCTCTTGGCGCAGTGGGGCAGGACACAACCAACAAGTAGTTTGAACAGTGGGAAACATGCACTCAAAGCACAGAATGAGCACATGTGATTGTCAGAAGTCAGCTGTGCGATGGGCACAGTACCACAGCGCATCATAGCACACATGTGAACACCGGATAGTGGCAACGCATGTGCAAGTGGTGTACTCTTGTGCGGGATTTAGAGCGGCCACTTAAGAGCCAGCATGACACCATGCACAGCTGAGTGGCAATGCTGGCTGACTGACCACAACCGTTTCCCGCCCCGGGGGCAACTGGGAGCTTTCGCCGTGGCGTGTACGTAATTGTCGTTGTCGCCGTTTGTTAGTTAACGTGGGCTGTCGACACCACACTGCGCTGTGTCCACGTCCTGTTCTGTAGAAGTCCACACTGCACTAGGTGCATCAGGGTGGTGTGATGGCCGTACATTTGATGTCAAGTTTTCCTCATGTTCAGGACAAGGCAGAGGGCAGGGCCGTGGATCCCACATACTCCGCATCGAAACAGATGCTGAAAATGGTGGGCGTCAAATTGCGGCAGCACTCCCCCGGAAAGACTGTCACACTCAGACTGTGAGTGCCGCAGCTGTACAGCGCACAGATAAGGACACCACGGGGTGCTGACAAGTTCCGTCGATCGGCCTTGCTGCCCTGACGATGATCGGGCAGTGTTGTGTTTTGACATGCGAGCCCTCCCCAAAAGTGTGAACAGTGAGGAGTAAATGCTGCCTTTTAGTTCGGCTCCCATGCATCTTAGAGACCAGCGTTGTAGGAATGGACTCCTTTCTGTTTGAAACGAAATAGAATCTGCAGTGTGGACCCTGCAAGGGCTGTAGGTTCCTCAATTCAGGAATTCGTACATGTACTACGGTACATAGCAGAAGCAGCAGAACTAACAGAAGTACAGTAGTAGAAATTATTCTGCCAGAGTCTGCCAGAATGGCTTGCACCAACCATTCACCGCGTCTGACGCGGTGAATAGTTGGTGCAAGCCTCATGTTTCCGTACAGCGTGCCATGGTGTCCCAGGGCCCGCGCGCCTTGAAGATATCAGCGCAAGACCCGGTTTTCTGCGTGCATTGTCGCCGCGATGACTGCAAAGACAGAGAGGCATGCCAAGGACATTTGTTCCCGCATGGAATGCCGACAGGGGAAGGGAAGAGTGGCGGGCCAAAGCTGAAAGAATCACTCGTACGAACGACAAATCGGGGAGCACGGTCCACGGCTGAGAAACACAACCAAACAACACCCACAATTCAATCGGTAAGGTGCATGAACAAACCAGCCCAGCGCTAATAATGGATCTAGGTTAAAGCAGGTCGTATAGTGTGAGTACCGCAATCCAAGCGATTTGGGGCTGTGCCAGCCTCACTGCCTGACTGTCCTGATTCCCCATCCACCAAATGCCCGTGTTGCCTATTCTAATGCATCCTTCAACCCACGGCCCTCTCATTGTCTTATTGTTTGTTTTCTGAATTCCACATCGCACTGCAGGGGCACCGCTGCAGACTGGAATGTGACAACAACTGACGTCGGACAGTAGACTCTGTGCATTGCCTGCTTGTCGTCTAAATGCGTCCCAACTGCTGCTGTGTCGAGCAGCACAGACATGGCCAACCATTCGTGAATCCAACGCGACAGCAACCGGCCAATTGGCTTTCCTCCCGCAAGCGGACTTCATCGTAAACACCACTCAAAGCAGCGACACCACCCTAGTTGCATCTACGATCATTATACAGTAGAATAATTATCGCGTGCTGCACGACCCCGCCCTGATTCGACCTGAGGACTGGAGCTGTCCCTTGTTGAGCGGACAATCATCGGCGAATCCGTGGCTCATGAGGGTGCAGGTCACAGTACGACCGCATGAGCAACAGCCCCAGGCCCCAACGGAAACGTAGTTCCGTTACCGTAACAGTGACTGTACTGACCCGCCGCATACAGTAATGGGACCCTGTTGAGAGGGACGCGGCAGCCCGAGCACGTTGCAATCGTGGCGATATCGTTGAGCATTCGGAATAAATGAAGTTAACTATCCTGTTAATGGGTTTCTGCCAAGGGCGACGATGGGTGGGCGGCACCGGCGATTCAAACGGTGCAGTTTGAACCTGGGGTTTACTCAACCCCGGCCCTTGGGATTTCTGGCCACCCCTAGTACCGTGGGTCAGTCAAAGTACGGTATTCCGAGGTGCCGCCCGCGAGGGCGCCCTCGAGTTTGGCGGGCTTTGGCGGGGCGGCGGGGGCGGCTATTTAGGCAGCCCCTCGGTCCCCCTCCTTATCTTGTTTCGCTTCGCGCCACTGCGTTGGCACAACCCGCAGGCACCGAGTGCCTTGTCCCTCCGGCTACGGCCGAGTCCTTTCTATGAACCGTTCTCCGGCCGAGCAGTGGCTGCACGACCAAGCGGTTCGGTTCAACGACGGTCCGCCTACGGCTTCCCTTGACGAAGTCTGGCTGTCCGACCCCCGGCTCCTACCGCAAGCGGTGACCAACCCGGTGGTCCGACCTCCGGGAGTCCGCTTCCCCGAGCGGTTCGACGTCCGCCGCACCTCCGAAGGCGGGCAGCTCGCGCAGGCCCTGGGCGCCAACTCCGGTTACTTCCAGGAGTACCAGAACTGGGCCCCCTACGTCGCGTGGCAGTTCGACCTCACTGCCGTGCTGATCGACTTCGTGGCGCACCCAGCCTTCCCGCTGCAATTCCGGGAGGCACTCCTGCCGTACGTCCACGCCCAAGTGACCATCACGTCGCGCCTTCAGAGCCTGATCCGTCTTCAACAGTTCCACGGCGAGCAGAAGGGAACCTCTCTCGACGGGCTGTGGAAAGCGCTCCAGACCAACGTGCGCTTGGGCGCGGTACATCGCCGGTTCTGGGACCCCTTGATCGACGAGCCCCTCGAGCACATCCGCAAGGAGGTCCTCAATCAACAGCTCAAGTTGGCGACGAAGTCCGCGGCGGCTCAACATCAAGCGCAGCTCAATCGCCAACCTTCCGCGGCCTCGCCCCCCGGCGGTCCTTCCTCCGGCGCCAAGCATCAGCGCCCCAAGCCCAAGACGTCCGGCGCCCCATCGGCGCCTCCCAAGCCGGCCGCCTAGAGGCCCCGCCCTACGCCCGCCTCCAGGGCCGTCTTGCAGCCTGGCGACGCATCGGCGCCCCCTCCCGGGTGCTTCAATGGATCCATACGGGGGCGCCGCTCCAATGGGGCCCGGGGGGCCCTCCGCCCCCTTTCGATCAAGGCGAGTACCCGCTCAGGACCCCGACGGAATGGCAAGCTTGGCGGGAGCTGCGCGACGAGTACCTTCGGACGGGGGCGATCATCCGGACGGAGCCTTCTTCCAACGCCCGGATTTCACGCGCCTTTTTGGTGGCCAAGCCGGCGGAGAACGGGCAGACCAAATACCGTTTGGTCATCGACCTTCGGCGGATCAATCGCCACCTCAAGAAGTCGGTCTCCGTTATGAGCGCTTGAAGGATTTCGGTTTTCTTTTGAAAAAGAATGACTTTCTGGTGGGCTTTGACGTCAAGAATGCCTACCATCATGTTCGGATGCGCGCCGATCAGGAGCATTTCTTGCTCTTTCGGATGGGTGGTGAAGTTTTTGCCTGTCGGGCGCTGCCGTTTGGCCTCTCCTTGGCCCCCTTTGATTTCACTCATGTCATGCTCGTTGTGGTCCGTTTCTTAAGGACCCCTGCGGCATGTGCACGGGCTGGAACTCGTTTTCGATTTGGCTGCTTAGCGGGTAATGACTCCATTCTCCAGTACTACCTAAAGTACTCGCGGGAGGTGCCCGCGTTGATTTTGGCATATTTGGATGATTTTATTGCGGCCATGTCTGATCCGGTTCATTTGCGGGAATGGTCCCATTTAGTGCGGCGAGTTTTTCAGGCTCTTGGCATTGAGTTCAAGCATTCCAAATGTCAGTGGGATCCGGTGCAACGGAAGACCCATTTGGGTGTGATCATTGACACTACCCGGTGCCAATTTCTGGTGCCTCCGAACAAGGCCGCCGCGATTGCTTCCCGGGCTCGCGCCCTCCTTCACTCGGGCGGGGTAGTGGCGCGACATTTGGCTCAATTCTGTGGGTCTGCCATTTCGTTGTATTTGGCCTTTCCGCTGGCCCGCTTTTTCTTGATGAGTCTGTATGAGTTATTACGAGGGAAACGATCGTGGCGGGATCGCCTTCGTTTGACCCCCCAAGCCCGCCTGGACCTCTTGGCATGGACAAACATTTCGCGCCTTGCCGGCCGGGCTCTTCACCCGGGTTCGCTGCCCTTTCTGGGCACACTTGCCACGGATGC